TTCTTGTTGAGGTCAATAGTGATACTTTGCAAAGGTTCCCACTAACCTTGTCCGTATGGATTTGAAATGTGAACATGCCTCTATCCTTGGTAAAAAAATGAGCCCGTTTGGTCGAGTTGTAATGAAGATATTCAAGTTTTTCTTTGTGGAGTTACTTACTGGACACCCTATATACTTATTAGAAAGAAACATTTACGTTTTTATTGATAAGAAAAAGCTTAATCATTTTCGTCTCAGTTAGACTTTTGTTGGTAGTTTCTACAGATATTTCTTTATCTAATAGTATAAATAAGGACATTTATAAATAACTAGCAATATTGAATTGATTCATTGTGTGTCACAACTCAGTTCGTTTTTTGCTCTCAAGAATTGATTACGAACGTAACAACATTACAAATGATTCATCTGTTGCTAACAAGACGGTACGTAAAGGTTTTCAGATATAAAGTTAACAATTTTTTTTCAGATTTATCTTGCGGTCGAATACATTTTACGTGAGTTTTCTTTTTATCTAGATATTTATAAAACTAACAGTTTTTTTATAACAAAAAATCGGTTCATCATCTTCAAAACCGCAAGAAATTGTTAAATATATTGAGAGTGACGAATCGAATAGAATGAAAGCCCTTGACCAGCTTGAAACTCAATTGAAGGAACTAAAAAATGAAGTTTTCAATGAACAACAGCTTATTTTGAATGACATTGAGGAAACTGTTATGGATGAAAACAATGTCTTAATATTACGATATAGTAATTTAGAAAATATGGATGAGATTCAACAAAATGTTCGTCAAATATTTGACAACGTTCCACTACTTAATGTTTTGGTAGATACTGCAACACAATTGGTTTCTACAATGAATAATACCAAAGAATTGACTGAATTAATGAAATGGCACCAATAAACCATCAAAAAACGTATTGATAATAAAGTTTACGGGATGGAAATGCATTATTAGTTAAAGTTACTGGATGAAACCAGGAGACGTATCGTGAAAGATTGAAATACAGTTTTATTAATTGCATATAAATGTAAAGCATATGTTCTTAAAATATCAGTAGCATCTGTACCAAATGATGATGAACTTAAACAACTTACTTTTTGATAAACTACTTATTGAAACCATGCAAGTCGAATGATAAATACTAAGCAAAGTTCTTTTCTTATCATTATTTCATGTAGTTCTTTTTTTGTTCGTATTTTAATATTTTTGCTTTGGTTTCTGTAAGAAATAAAGTTATTTAACCAGGAATTTTATTTGTATGACAAAAAAGTTCATGCTGTGGTATATAATATTAAATGAACTTGTTCTTACAATGGAGGTGTTTGTGTTATTAGTTAAAAAGATGGAAATATTCAGGTCGAATGAAAGCTCTCACTGCCAGACTAACAGGGTTAAAATATTAGTGGCCCTTGGCTTGTCTAGAGGAAGAGATTCGGTTTGTACGGTATTCCCAGTTTGAGTATATAAGAACATTAGGATTATTTACGTGAATTTTTTATGTAAGCAACTCAATATTTCAATGATAGGCTTCAAGAATCTTTCTGAAATTTATCAACAGTATCAAGATCACATCAGTTTTGATGTCTTCTAGAACTTAAATAATATCAATGTAGATAAAGATATCGCTATCAGTTATCAAAATCTTTAACTCACAAATACTCTCAATTTTATTTCAACTAAAAACAATAGATTATATAATATAGTATTTTAACAAATCTAGTACAGGTGTATATGTAGAGCTCCAATCAGATAATAGTAACAAAGAGTTTTTTTTTTGCATCAAGTACACATTGATAGTGTTCGTTCATAGCAATTGCTAATTGAACATTGCAGATCGTAAAATCTGAAGCTAATATTTTTTGGCTTTTCAATCTGTCCAATTGTTTCATTTGTTATTCGAGCTTCTATAAATCCATTCATAATGACGATCAATCACGATTTTTCTTACGATGAATCGGAAAACGTCAACGATTAATCAGCAAAACTCAGGCGATACTAACGACATAAAATGTCGTCTATATGTCTCGGTCAACGATAGCATAATATATCAACAACTTTTTCGACCATTAAGTAAGGTATCAATGCACACTTTAAGTTTCAATATTATACATACAAGTCATTTTTCAAAAACATCATATATCCTTCTTTTCATTTCGATGCTACTTAAGTTCTAGAAGACATCAAAACTAATGTGATCTTAATACTATTGATAAATTTCAGAAAGATTCTTGAAGCCTATCATTGAAATATTGAGTTGATTACATAAAAAATTAACGTAAATCATCCTAATGTTTCTATATACCCAAACCGTGAATACCGTACAAATCGAATGTCTCCCTCTAGGCAAGCCAAGAGCCGCTAATGTTTTAACCTTATTAGTCTGGCATTGAGAGCTTTTATTCGACCCAAATATTCTTATCTTTGTGGCTGACAACACAAACATCTCCACTGTTACTGAGAAAGATTTACTTCTATTTATTACTATTGAAAACAATTGAAGACCTCATAAAGTAGAAAATATGATTCGCCATAATGGGATATGCTGTCAAAAAACCTACTTATGTGAAAACGACTTTTCGGGTCTGACAGTTGTCTAAAAGAAGGCTCATATTCATACACTTTCTACATTGGAACCAAAGCATCGCGTTAAAATTCAAAACGATATCCGTATCTTTATTTTTTTCTACATTGAAGAGTAAAGTGTACATTACTAATTCGAATCCAAATGCAAGTCTATCTTATTATTCTTTTCTACATAGAGCACATGAACGTCAAAGTTGTATCAGAAACTATTTTAGGATGCGAGAATAAATGTGAGGATACGTAAGGATCTTCTCGTCACTTAAATCTACATCCATACTCCTACTTTGCAGAGTAGGGTGCGGTAAGGATTAGAAAATTTCTCTCAGCCAGGCTACAGGATACAAAAAAAAATTTATCCTGCACAACTTTAGTTTGTGCTACTTTTTTTTACAACACAAATCGATGTACTAGACGTTAATACCAAACGAGTAAAATCAGAAAGATCAGATTGACAATGAGAATCAGACAGGAAAATACTGCACTAAAAAAATGCATGTTCAAATATTGTAAGTAACGATATCAATCTGTAAACATGGATACCTATCTCATCGATTGACTGTGTAATTAAACGTGTTCTAACCAATCGGTGCGAAAATTCCTATACTGTAGAACGTCATCGTCAACAAGCATAGTCATTAACAAAAGGAAAGTAATGTGAAATAAAACGAACGCTATTTGTACATATGAAGTCAATTTTCACCAAATGTAAAACAATATATGAAAATTGAAACATACAAAATAATTTAAACTCTCATCACAGTTTAGATTATGATTTCACTGTACTAATTCAAAGGAAGACTTTTTTGGAATTCTATTTTAATCTCATGTTACATAATGAAAGATAACAGTTTTTCAAATAAAATATAAAAGAATTTTTATTCTCTTTTTGTTAGTTACAAAATAATATTCATTATTAACTGAAAAAAAAAATATCTTGATTGAACAACATAGATAGAGATATAAGTAAGTTCGTAAATAAAATGTTTAAAACAAAACATGTTCATTGATTTTACTGAGGATAACTTTTTCTAGAATTGTTGTATTTATTATGAGTATATTGTTTTGTTGATTGAGATTGATGTTGATCTGTTATTTGATTTTGTTTTATTAAACACTCATTTATAAATTGTGTTGAATTAACATTTGGAACACTTTCAATCCAATGTTTCCATAAATTATTTGATATTAAAGTATGTTTATTACCAAAAACAATCATTGCACATTTTGCTCGTGTCAAAAGAACATTCATACGTTGTTCATTGATTAAAAATCCTATTTCATTTTCATTATTTGATCGAACTAAGGAAATAAGAATAATATTTTTTTCTCGTCCTTGAAATCCATCTACTGTCCGAATTTCAACACCTTTTGGGACTTGAATAGTTGATAATTTTTCGACTATTTCTTTAACTTGTCGTGTATAAGGTGTAATAACACCAATATCGATTCTATAATAAAATTAAAAACAAATATTTAATGAGAGAACATGAAAATATTTTACGGTGATAAATTTGGTTGACGACGTGGTAATAATGTTTGAATTGTTTGACAAATTAATTCAACTTCTTGTCTATTATAAATATTCGATCCATGAATTGTTTCATAACTTTGATCAACATCAACAAACATTAATGGAATTTGTTTATTAATAAATTTAATTTCTTGTGGTATTGGTCGTTGTTCAGGTTTAATACCAGTTTTTAATGAACCATCATAGAATACTTTTGATGGAAAATCAATTAATGATGGATGCATACGATATTGAGTATCTAACATAATTGAGTTTATATTTAGATTTTCTAATAAACGCTGAAAAAATGATCGTTCTAATAATGGTTTTGCTTCAGCCATTTTTATAATCGGTGGTAACTAAAAATTTTGTAAAAAAGAAAAAAAGATTAGATTTTTTCTCCGATGAGTATTTTTAGGGATATGATGTGTGGACTGTGGGTAGAAAAGAAGTCTTGATTTTAACCACATCGACGTATATAGAACTACGACCACAGTTTTGACATGATACGTGCTTCTAACAAGGAAAGTTTTCAACTGACAATCGCTTTTGAATTCGTATTCTATGAATAAGATAGACTACAGTGAGATATAAAAATTCTCAAAATGATAAGTCTCCTTAGGCCTTGTGTCAAGAGTTATACGTATTTTACTAGAATTTTTGCTTCATGGTGTGGGCGGTGAGTTTGAGTCTTCTGTTAATTCACACCCACACCCTTCACGTCATTTAAATTGTAATACAGTGTGATTTTTGAATTTATGTTTTTGCTGAAATAAAAGAACTTCAACTAACTTATTTTTGATCACCAACGAGAACAATTTGATCTGTTATTCGAACTAATGGAATAAGAATATTGGGTTCTGTTATTTGTGATGCTTCATCAATTAAAATAAATGGAAATTTAAAATCAGGTTCCAATATTCCAACACCTGAACAAGTCATACATAATATTTGACATTTTGATATTATTTCACGTATTTCTTTTGGTTTTGGTGGTCCATATAAAGATTTATTTGTTGTTGTTGTATTCGAGTTTGATTGTTGTTTTTCACGACGTAAAAGTTCAATTTGTGTTGGCAGTGTATATTTCTATAAGAAAGCAAAAACAAAAAAAAACTCAGATTAAGTAAAAAAAAATGAATATTAAAACAAAAAAAGGATTACATGTAGATCAGGAGCAACAGTTCTTGGTTCACCATAACGAATTAAACGATATTGTCGATATTGTAATAAACGTCGTGTTAAATTATCTACTGCTTGATGTGTTTCTGCACAAATTAATATTGGTTGTCCTTCTTGAAAAAATTTTTTTAACCATAAATGTATAATCCATGCTGATGTTTCAGTTTTTCCTGTACCAGGTGGACCTTGAATAAGTGTTAAACGATTTTCTAATGCATTTTTTATTGCTTGACGTTGACTATTATTTAATGTAGCATGATTATATTCATTGTCATCGGTTAAATTATTTTCTACATTTCTTATTTGATCTTGTGCATAATTTTTTAATTGATCTTTATCAATATTATCTGATAAATTTAAAAATGGTTTAATCAATAATAAATCTTTATTATTAATAATTTTTTCAAAAAGCATCAATTGATCGATTTAATGTAACGAAATTAGGAAGACGTTCTAAACGAAATAATTTTTGTCGATTTAAATAATTACTATTTGTTAATGATAATGGCCAATATGTAAATTTAATTGATAATAATGGATAAATACTTAAAATTATTCCAAATGATTGATAAAATAAACGTAATGGAGGTTTTTCATCAGTTTTATTTTGTTTAGATAAATATTCATCTAATTGTTCTTGATCAATTAATGCAACAGAATCACCAATATTAAAATGATGTGATGGAATTTTTTCATATTTATAATGTTCAAAATAAAATATAGGTTCAAAACATTTTTCTTCTTGTTCGTCATCATTTTCAGTATCAGTCTTAAATCAAATATCAACAAAACAATTAATATCAATTTAATAAAAGATTTTTCAACATTAGCTTGGAGAAAATGAAATATTTTACATTGAATGAATCAGAGATATTCATCGCGGTTAGGACTCTGTCGATGCTGCCGTATTAGTACTTTTGAAACATCTTTTGTATCGCTATGGACATTTCTGACATGAATTGATAACTACACGAAATTTTGCTTTCTAATTTAAGGCGAAAAAAATTCTTTTTCAAATTTCTCAATAAATAGAACAATAGTTCGATTACATATTTTCTGTACAGTGTTACATCAGACTCGAGTTTCGTAACATAAACAACAAAAAGATCTAGTTTATGAAGAAAAATTTTTGATAAACCAAAAAGAACTTTGATGATCGTGAAATGTCACTAAAAAGAAACTTGAGCACAACAGGATCCTCTCGACTGATCCCCCTTGCCAATTATCCCAACTGGTTCCCCCTTAATTGACTCTCAATTCGTCCCCAACAAAATTCGTTCCTAGTTGACTGATTCTCAATTCGTCCCCTCAATTAGCCCGTCCCTGTTCAGAAACAATTAGAAACAAATATAGGCATGATAGTCATCAATCCGAAAATNTTTCAAAATTCAGCAATTTGTATTGCTAACATGATCAAACCCCCGTCGCGCGGCCGCTTCATGAAAATAGAAGCCGCGCGGAGCGGCCGTTTCCGTCCCGCACCCTAAATTTTCCGAACGGACGGACCGTACAAGGTATGAGTCATACTTGACATTGAGGAACGGACGGGCCGTTCGCGCGGCGCGGCCGTCCCCGTCCCGCACTCCGCACCCGTCCGAGCGGTGCACGTCTCTGATTCATACGTTGTTCATTGATTAAAAATCCTATTTCATTTTCATTATTTGATCGAACTAAGGAAATAAGAATAATAGTTTTTTCTCGCCCTTGAAATCCATCTACTGTTCGGATTTCAACACTTTTGGGACTTGAATAGTGGATAATTTTTCGACTATTTCTTTAACTTGTCGTGCATAAAGTGTAACAACACTAATATCAATTCTATAATAAAATTAAAAATAAATATTTAATGAAAATGAAAATATTTTATGGTGATAAATTTGGTTGACGACGTGGTAATAATGTTTGAATTGTTTGACAAATTAATTCAACTTGTTGTCTATTATAAATACTCGATCCATGAATTGTTTCATAACTTTGATCAACATCAACAAACATTAATGGAATTTGTTTATTAATAAATTTAATTTCTTGTGGTGTTGGTCGTTGTTCAGGTTTGATACCGGTTTTTAATGAACCATCATAGAATACCTTTGATGGAAAATCAATTAATGATGGATGCATACGATATTGAGTATCTAACATAATTGAGTTTATATTTATATTTTCTAATAAACGTTGAAAAAATGATTGTTCTAATAATGGTTTTGCTTCAGCCATTTTTATAATCGGTGGTAACTAAAAATTTTGTAAAAAGAAAAAGATTAGGTTTTTTCTTTGATGAGTATTTTTAGGGAAATGATGTGTGGACTGTGGGTAGAAAAGAAATCTTGTCTTAACCCACATCGGCGTATATAGAACTACGATCACAGTTTTGACATGATACGTGCTTCTAACAAGGGAAAGTTTTCAACTGACCAATCGCGTTTGAGTTTGTATTCTATGCATAAGGTAGACTACAGTGAGATATAAAAACTCTCGAAAGGATAAGTCTCCTTAGGCCTTGTGTCAAGAGTTATAGGTATTTTACTAGAATTTTCGCTTCATGGTGTGGGCGGTGAGTTTGGGTTTTCTGTTAATTCACACCCACACCCACACCGTTCACGCCATTTAAATTGTAAGTCTGATTTTTTAATTTCTTTTTTGCTGAAATAAAAAAACTTCAACTAATTTGTTTTTGATCACCAACGAGAACAATTTGATCTGTTATTCGAACTAATGAAATAACAATATTGGGTTCTGTTATTTGTGATGCTTCATCAATTAAAATAAATGGAAATTTAAAACCAAGTACCAATATTCCAACATCTGAACAAGTCATACATAATATTTGACATTTTGATATTATTTCACGTATTTCTTTTGCTTTTGGTGGTCCAAATAAAGATTTATTTGTTGTTGTTGTTGTATTTGGATTTGATTGTTGTTTTTCACGACGTAAAAGTTCGATTTGTGCTGGCATCGTATATTTTTATAAGAAAACAAAAACAAAAAAAATACTCAGATTAAGTAAAAAAATGAATATTAAAACAAAAAAAGATCACACGTAGATCAGAAGCAACAGTTCTTGGTTCACCATAACGAATTAAACGATATTGCCGATATTGTAATAAATGTCGTGTTAAATTATCTACTGCTTGATGTGTTTCTGCACAAATTAATATTGGTTGTCCTCCTTGAAAAAAATTTTGTAATCATAAATGTATAATCCATGCTGATGTTTCAGTTTTTCCTGTACCAGGTGGATCTTGAATAAATGTTAAACGATTTTCTAATGCATTTTTTATTGCTTGACGTTGACTATTATTTAATGTAACATGACAATATTCATTTTCATCGGTTAAATTATTTTCTACATTTCTTATTTGATCTTGTGCATAATTTTTTAATTGATCTTTATCAATATTATCTGATAAATTTAAAAATGGTTTAACTAATTATAAATCATTATTATCAATAATTTTTCCAAAAGCATCAATTGATCGATTTAATGTAAAAAAATTAGAAAGACGTTCTAAACGAAATAATTATTATTTGTTAATGATAATGGCCAATATGTAAATGTAATTGATAATAATGGATAAATACTTGAAATTATTCCAAATGATTGATGAAATAAACGTAATGGAGGATTTTCATCAGTTTTATTTTGTTTAGATAAATATTCATCTAATTGTTCTTGATCAATTAATGCAACAGAATCACCAATATTAAAATGATATGATGGAATTTTTCCATATTTATAATGTTCAAAATAAAATATAGGTTCAAAACATTTTTCTTCTTGTTCGTCATCATTTTCAGTATCAGTCTTAAATCAAACATTAACAAAACAATTAATATCAATTTAATAAAGGTTTTTTAATATTAGTTTGGAGAAAATGAAATATTTTACATTGAGTGAATCAGAGATATTCGTTGCGGTTAGGACTCTGTCGCTGCTGCCGCATTAGTACTTTTGAAACATCTTTCGTATCGCCATGGACAATTCTGACATGAATTGATAACTACACGAAATTTTGCTTTCTAATTTAAGGCGAAAAAAATTCTTTTTCAAATTTCTCAATAAATAGAACAATAGTTCAACTACATATTTTCTGTACAGTGTTACAGCAGACTCGAGTTTTGTAACATAAACAACAAAACGATCAAGTTTATGAAGAAAAATTTTTGCTAAACCCAAAAGAACTTTGATGATCGTGAAATATCACTAAAAAAAATTTGAGCACAACAGACACTGATCATCAACGTAAGCTTATCATTAGTTTATTGTTATCTCTTGAATTTTCATCAAAAGTTTATTTGGTTGAGTCTTATAAATGTTTGAATTGAATGCAAAGCTAGAATTATTAATAAATTTTTTTTTTTAATTTAACATAGTCTGAAGGAAATCTATAAAAAATGTTCTTACCGTTTGTTGATCATTTTATTTTCTAATGGCTAATTTTGCTCGTAAATAAAATATAATTTCACCATTTTTAATTAAAATTTATTTTTTTAATTTAATTCTTTGATTAATTTCATCAAGATCATAAACAGTTGCTCGAATAATAATTGATAAAAATTGAATTGTATAATCAATAGTTGATATTGAATGTTGTTGTTCTTCATCTAATGTTTGAATATTTTATAGATATTGAAGAAATTTTAGACAAACATCTGAATTTTTTGTCATTAAACATGATTGAATTAAATGTGATAATTGTTTTAATGTTAATTGAATATTTGTTAAAGAATGAATTTCAATAAAATAATTTCAATTAATTTCATCTGTATTATAATCATTTCCTAATATTAATGATAAATATAAATTATAAATGGATTGATTATTTATTTGATGAAATGTTTGAATTAATTGATAATTTTCTTTAACTAAACGTTGAATAATTCTTTCTAAAAAATGAATGTATACTAATTGACTTTTATCTTTTAATTTTGAATTAAATTTTTTCATTAAATGAAAAATTCTATTAAAATTTTTTTCTTGATTAATTGATGATAATAATAATAACTGATAAAATTATTGTTCATTTAATTCATTAAGATTTATTTCTGTTTGATTTAATTGACTAAGATAAATCCATATTGTATTTATTTCGTTTTTCTTCATATTCTTTTTTGTTCATTTTTGTATTTTTCTTCTTCAGCTTTTTCTCTACAAAAAACAAAACGATCTTTCATCAATATTTTAAATCAAATATTTCTTATAAATCAATTATTAATATCATACCAGAGACTGAATCGAATCGAGTTTTACTGATTCGATTCGATTCGACTTTGTTTTCGGTCTCTGTATGACATTAATAGAATTCAAACGTTATTTTTCTCTCATTCAATTTCACAGAAATAATTGAATAGAAACACTTCTCAACACTCAAACAGCTAAATATCATTTTACTTCATAAAGCCATTAGCTGATATAATTCAATCTTGTTAGAATCTATTTTCGGACAAAAAATGAGAAAACAATTCTTCAGGTAGACATTGACATAGAAATCTTCTGTCTTTTAGACTAAAGTAAATCTTTAAAGAAAACAATAATATTTACTTTCAAGAAATCGATAGAAGTAAAAGTTAATAGATGAAGAATTTTGTTGAAGATATTCTTCAAGAAAATATTTCAAAACGTTAATTTTTTCAGAGAATATTTATCTATCGTTTAGCAGTCGATCGATAATTGCGCTTACGAGTTTTTAAGGTCCAATTATTTCATCATTCATTAATACTTAGAATGATTGGTCTTTCTTATGAAAATTTTCGATAAAAATCACTTTGAATCAATACCCTTAAAAATTGAGGAAATTTTGATAAAAGACTAACAGAATGGAATATTTCAACATAAAGTTTTGATTAATTCGCAAGAAAGTCGATGAATCAGAAAGAACTATACCTATTGTCACAGTAAAATAAAAAAGTATTGAAAATTGTTTGGAAAATGTCTCCTAGAAATCAGCACATATCGTAGAAGTTCAATGTTCTAGTGTAATTTTATAGAGAACTAAAAAGTAGATCGTTTTGAAACTAAGTAAAGTTTTCTACCAACAAACATGAATAATATAAAAAGGAATTACGAATGATGCCATTATTTATGGCGCAGAAACTTTTAGAAAATAACTTACTGTTCTGTAAGATATTCAACATATTGATAATTTTCAATTTGTTCATTAAAATAATTTTGTGTATAATATTCTTCATCATAATAACTAATAATTGGATAATAACTTGAGGATATTTGTTGATCATTAGATAAAACAAATATTTCAAAATAAAAAAATTCATGTTTATTTACTTTTAGATGATTTCGATTTCGTAAAATATTTCGATCGAATCGTGTTAAATCAACACATTGAAAAATGAAATTGAATTTCAATTTCAATTAAAATTAAAATTAAAGTATTTTCATTCTTGATACAGATGGAATTGACATAAGAAATTAAATTAAAATATTGATTATGATAATTAGATCGATATCATTTAACAAAGAGACCTTTTCTTCTATTTCTTATGAATCAATGAAATGTTTCTTTTTCAACAACATGAAAAGTCTAGAATATATATCGAATGTTGTCATGAATTCATATCCAATCGATTTACGGGAAGATTCGATAGGTTTCTTCTCAAGAATTCGATAAACAAACAAAAATGGTAATGATTGTTTTTGAAAACAACGAGAGCGCACTAGAATCTCTTTTGATCTACTTTATTTTTTTCTTAGAAAAAAACATAAAAGTGACTTGATATTGTAGCGTTTAAACTAACAAATCTAATAGTATATAAATGTTACCCCGATGTCTTAAATTGTGAGTAATTCTGCTCCTTTCAAGCTTGATCATCACTATAAGATTTCTTCTTGTTATCAACTAAGAAGACAGTCACATGTCAATGAGCTCACTTATGGTGTGATGAACTGAGCATGGATTGACCCACATTTTAGCACCAAAACATCATATAAATGAGCTTTCGTTGAGCCGAATACGAGCTAGCAAGTAACACTAGAGCAGTTCAAATGATTGCATGTCCCGCTACTAGTCAACGTTGAGAGTCTAATCTCACAAAATATAGAAATGAATATATCATCAAAATTACACTGTTAGTATTGTACATGATGATCTACGCAAGCATGTATAATGTGTTCGACTAGGTAAAAGTGGTCATTGTTTCCTTGGTATTGGTCGGTTTTGTAAGATAAATTATTGAACAATTTTTTTTGTCGGAAAATTCATCCGTGGTCTTCCTAAGGGTAGAGCCAAAAAATGAAGTCAATCATAGTGCCATTTTCAATGTATAGTCATCTGTATTTTGTACTCAATTATCATTTTTACAAGATCAGAACTTGTTTTCAACTCTTCAAAAGATATTCTGATGTACTTCATTTTTTGACTGAATTCTTAAGAAAACTACGGATGAATTTTTCATCGAAAATAAAAACTGTCCGAACAAATTGAAATACATATAGATCGACTTGGGGTTTTATGCTGATACCTAATATATGATATATTTTCACTAGAAAAACAATTAATCTGACATAAATCAGTGGAAGTCAATCAAAGAATAGTTACTTTTATTTATCCAAACAAATTATTCATGTTCTTGTAGTCCGTCATGTACTTTACTAGGACTGAAATTTTGGCGATATATTCATTTCTATATTCTGAGATGTTTAGCATATCTTTCATGCATTTTCTTAGATTTATTGGAGTGAAATTTGTAAAAGAATTTTGTTTTTCTTTGATAATGTGAAATACCTGGTTGAATTTGAAAATTAATTTGTGATTGATTTTGATTAGTTTGTTGAGATTCATGAAAAGCATCTTTATAAATATCTAATACTAAAGTAATATTATTATCAATAGAAATATTAATTAATGTTCTTTCATGTAAAGAATTTTTTTTTAAAACATAAATAATTGGTTGAAATGTTTGTTCATATTCAACTAGAGATGATATATTAAATAATTTTCGAGAAATATAAAATAATCTTCATGATAGAGAAGTATCAGATAAATGATATTTATTAATAAGTTCTTTTGATAATAATTTTGATTTATTTGATATTGAATGTAAATATGATTGATCAATTTTTAATTATAATTCAATATTTTGTTGTTGTTCTATTGTTAACTAAAAGAAACAAAGAAAAAAGAAAATCTTCAATTAAAAAGTTTTGATATAAAAAATTAACTTGACTAAAATCAAATCAATAAATAAAATCTTTAAGAATTTCGTCTGAATTTTCTTGTTCATTAGCCCATTTAATAATTGTAATTATTAAAGAATATTCATTTAATGATTGAACATTATTATAATTATATATATAAGGACATAGTCGTTCATATAATATATTTAATAATGTTTCTTTTGATAAAGATTTAAATTGATTTTCATTGATTAATTTTATTTGAAATTCTTCTTTAAATTTTTTCGCATTATTTAACATTTTTATCCAAACAAATTCCTTTTTTTCAATTCTATTATTATTTGTATTTGATTGATAATTATCTTTTAAAATAAAAATAAACTTAAATATTCCAAGAATAACATGAGACATTGATTTTTATCAATTAAGTAACAGCTGATGACATAAGTAAAATAGTTATCGAATTTATTAGTCTATGTTTTCATCAATTTCACATTGTTTCAAGTGATAATCATGAAAACTACTAACCATTTCAAAATATAATGTGCTCCATTACTTGCTCAATAATTTTTGATAGGTACACCATAGAGAACTAAGATTTTCACCATTCAAGAGAGAAAGACCTGCATCACCGACATTTAATTAATCAACCATAGACTAATCAGTTGAGTTCTTGGCAAAGTTTTTCGAAAACAATATTCTAAATCTATTTTCGTTTTGATTGAAACTTTTAATCGAACTAATCGATAGAAAAAGTTCTTCTTTCTCGACCCATACAAGCCCAACATTCCAAGCTTGTTCCATTCGAGACTTATTTTGAACCTAAAACTAAAGGTTTCAATTTAACTTAGCACACTGAATTATCCTTGCTTAACTGCTTTTTCAAGTGATCACAAATCAATTGGCTAAAAGCGGAACTCTTAGAAAAAGTCTTGTAATTCTCGAATAATGAAACAAGCTACGAGTGCTGGTCTTCCGTAGATCAAAAGACAAGATTTTTTTTGTAACGATTAGTTCTATTAAAAGTCTAAAGTGAAACGAAAATCTCTACTAAAACTTTCAAATTTATGAGAAACTAATTAATCAAGAAAATGTTCTATAGTGTGTGGTACATCATTCTTGCAAGGAGGGTTTTCTAATACGAAGGATCTAGTTTAATGAGTTGAACGGATTGTTCTCAGTGATGATTATGATCAATAGATTTTTCTTAAAAATATCTAAATGTATAACATTCTGAAGCACACTATGACATATTCATAGAAGTTGCATAATATTAGTTTAGTTCTAATCGTTCATAGATGTCTATTTTGACTTTTGAATTTGGATATAAGACGTTAAGAAAAAAAAAGTTGTTCTTTCAAGAAACGATAAATATTTTGAAAATCTACCTTGAACAGGTTGTATTGAAGTCATTTCATTATTTATCTGTTGTTGTTGTTCTTCTTCTTTTCTTGGTGGTTTCAATTGAACTGGAATTCGATATTTTTCGTCCAGTTTTTGGAGCATCAACAGCTTTAGAAAATAATTCTGCTAATCGACGACATTGTGTTGAATTAACTCCAAGAAGATTCGCCCAATAATTGAAATAATTATCAATAATTCCTGATTGATTAGTTTTTTGTGCATTAGCAAAATAAGATATCATTTCTTTTCGTGTAATGAATTCAGATTCTTTTACTTTTGATGTTGAATTATAATTCATTGGCTTATTTGTTTGTTTTGGAATTAAATCATAATCCCAACAAATGAGATATTTATCACCATCTAAATCACTCCCAGTCTAAAACAAAATAATAAACTTAGATAAATAATGAATTATTGTTTTTTAAAAATCATTTGAATACAATTTCATTTGGATGTGGACGTTGACCTTTCGTTGGAAAAACAATAACATCATATAAATGTTCTAATTGTTGATATGATGTTAACTTTAAAAGTCGAATATCACCTAAATGATAACTTGGCGATTTTGCTACAAAACAAATTTTTGAATCAATCATAAATTGTCTTCCATTAAATGTTAGATGAAAATAAACTTCACCAGATTTTAATACACCATCTAAATAAAGACATAGATATATATGAACTAAATTAGAAAATTCATCTGATCACAGACTAGAAATTAAAGATTCAAATTGTAACTAAAGACATGAGTCAATCTTAGCAATCTGAGAAACAGAAAAAGNATTTTCCTTTTCATTATTTGATCGAACTAAGGAAATAAGAATACTATTTTTTTCTCGTCCTTGAAATCCATCTACGATTAGAATTTCAACATCTTTTGGGGCTTGAATAGTTGATAATTTTTCGACTATTTCTTTAACTTGTCGTGTATAAGGTGTAATAACACCAATATCGATTCTATAATAAAATTAAAAATAAATATTTAATGAGAGAAAATGAAAATATTTTATGGTGATAAATTTGGTTGACGACGTGGTAATAATGTTTGAATTGTTTTATACCTCTGATCAACATCAACAAACATTCATGGAATTTGTTTATTAATAAATTTAATTTCTTGTGGTGTTGGTCGTTGTTCAGGTTTGATACCAGTTTTTAATGAGCCATCATAGAATACTTTTGATGGAAAATCAATTAATGATGGATGCATACGATATTGAGTATCTAACATAATTGAGTTTATATTTATATTTTCTAATAAGCGTTGAAAAAATGATCGTTCTAATAATGGTTTTGCTTCAGCCGTTTTTATAATCGGTGGTAACTAAAGATTTTGTAAAAAGAAAAAGATTAGGTTTTTTCTCTGATGAGTATTTATAGGGAAATGATGTGTGGACTGTGGGTAGAAAAGAAGTCTTGCTTTTAACCACATCGGCGTATATAGAACTAAGACCACAGTTTTGACATGATACGTGCTTCTAACAAGGGAAAGTTTTCAACTGACCAATCGCTTTTGAGTTCGTATTCTATGCATAAGGTAGACCACAGTGAGATATAAAAACTCTCAAAAGGATAAGTCTCCTTAGGCCTTGTGTCAAGAGTTATAGGCATTTTACTAGAATTTTTGACTTCATGGTGTGGGTGGTGAGTTTGGGTCTTCTGTTAATTCACACTCATACCCACACTCTTCACGTCATTTAAATTGTAATAGAGTCTGATTTTTGAATTTCTTTTTTGCTGCAATAAAAGAACTTCAACTAACTTGTTTCTGATCACCAACGAGAACAATTTGATTTGTTATTCGAACTAATGGAATAACAATATTGCATTCAGTTATTTGTGATGCTTCATCAATTAAAATAAATGGAAATTTAAAAGCAGGTTTTAATACGCCAACATCTGAACAAGTCATACATAATATTTGACATTTTTATATTATTTCACGTATTTTTTTTGCTTTTGGTGGTCCAAATAAAGATTTATTTGTTGTTGTTGTATTTGGACTTGATTGTTGCTTTTCACGACGTAAAAGTTCGATTTGTGTTGGTATTGTATATTTCTATAAGAAAGCAAAAACAAAATACTCAGATTAATTTAAACAAATGAATATTAAAACAAAAAAAAGCTCACATGTGGATCATAAGCAACAGTTCTTGGTTCATCATAACGAATTAAACGATATTGTCGATATTGTAATAAATGTCGTGTTAAATTATCTACTGCTTGATGTGTTTCTGCACAAATTAATATTGGTTGTCCTNTCAAAATATAAACTTTGTTCATAAATTATTTTTTCTTGCACATTGGAAAAATTTTCAATGTTATTTTTTTAAATATAATCTTCTAAATGTTTTTCTGTAAGTTTTAATCGATTTAATACAGTACGTGCTACCTCTTGAATACGTTTAAATTGTTTATTTTTTAATTTTTTATCTTGACTAAATTTTCGTAAACATTTGTCGACAAGTGTTGATTTTCCAACGGAAGATGCACCTGATATTATTATATGTATAGAAGACATCGATTCTAAACAAATAGAAGAAAATGATTAACTAGAGAATGTAATATTATCAAATAATTATATAGTTTTATGTTGTGTGCAATCAACTAGCAGCGACATATAGTTCGAGTCTTGAGAAAAATATCATCGTTTGTTTTTTTTTTGTTGCTGTCGATTATATTCCGCTGGGAATAAATAAGTGCATATTTTGAAAGCGCTTGAAGTTTTCTATCGTCGTGTGTATCTATCTTTTAGTTTGCACCTATATACTACGAAAATAAATCGAGTGCAATAAAAGCATTCTCATCACTAGATTTTCACGGACTTCATTTTGTCACTGTCATTTAAATTAGTTTTTTCAATTTTTCTTTATTATAGAAAAATATGTATTGTAATAGAACTTGAAATTTTCTATCGTCCTATATATTTTTGTCTTGTCTTGGATTTATGTGCCATAGCAGATAAATGTTGGGTAAGACAAAAATGTACAGGATGATTATCACAACATATATTTACTTTTCTAAAAACGTATTTCTCTGATAATGAGAAATTGAAAAAACTAATTTTGGTGACAATGAAAATCAAGTATTTGAGAATGTCGTGATGAGAGATCAAAAACTTCTATAAAATGTACTTAATTTTTCAAAATTTGTTTTTATTATGATGATATATTTAAAATGCAGACTAGCAATATTTATTTTCAAAGAGGATATATGCAGTTCTTTGTTCCGGTGATTATTTTATAGACATTTGTAATGTCTGTAATTGTGCATATCTGATAGCAACAACATATATTTAGAAAACGAAAGGGGAAATGACGCCACTATCAACAATAATGTTCATTGAGTTATTTATAATTTCAATTGTTTTGATTTGTATTAATCATATGATCTTAATTAGCAGTCTCACAATAAAAATGATCAAAGTATTCACATTGACGAAGTCAATATCGAGCGATGAGTCATAGTAGAGAATATGACATTTATAATACAAACATCCAGACAATTGAAAATGAAAAACATTCAAATCTAAATCATCAAGAATCTCTCAAAACATATTTACATTTGTAATTATTTGACAAGCTAATAGGTACTCAAAAAGAATCATTGGAAAGATAGTACAATGATTGATTACTAAAAGTGACATATACTCGATTTTTAATTTTTTCGAAAATTAATTCATTTTTTTCACCAATTATAAAATCTAAATTTGTTCTTCGTTTAACTATCGAGCACTGTTAGAAAATTCAATATGGGAACAAAATCTTGATTATAGTTACTTTGAATAAAGTATTTAATGATTAAGAATCAGAACACAAAGCACTGCAAAATTATCTAATAACAAATTAAATATGACGTGAATCTCTTTTTAAAAAACACTTTTTCCCAGTTGAAAGGTATATATAGTATCCGTCTATGAATCATCTCTTCAAAAAAAAACCATCATGGGCTTTGCGTTCTGTCGATGCACACGAGTAAACAGTGACATATTTTTCTGTTTCTTCATGCTTAGGAAAGAACAAAATCAGTGTTTATATATTCATAGATTTAATAAGTCTTAATCGAAAAAAAAAGAATTTCTAAGATAAATAAAATATGTGGTTAATGATTTATCGTTTTTGAATAAGCATATATCCAGGATCCGTTGGTTGTTGTGCAATATCCCATCATGTTTGTAAATCTTCTAATGCTTTTGTTCCATTAGCACGTTTAAATGAATAATTCAAAATTAATTTTTCAATAATAATTTCCATTTCAACTTTTGCTAACCATCTACCAACACATTCTTTAAGTCCTATACTAAATAGAACAAAAACATTTCTATCATTATTTGTATTTGATAAATCTTTATCTTCAACATTAATTAAATTAAATTGATTTCCTAATATAAAATGTTCATTTCTTCTGTGCATATCAGCTAAACTAATAATTATATTTGATCCATTTTTAATATGAATATTATTATAAAAATCATCATTAATAGTACATCTCATTATAACAGGACCAACTGATTTAAAACGCATTGATTCTTTTAAACCATTTGTAAGAATTTGATAAGAATTTTCTTTTAATTCTTTTAATAATTGTTCTTCTAATTCCTTTCGATCACAAAGTGCAAGAAGAAAATAAAACATTGTAACAAATGATATATCTGTACCGGCAATCAACATATCTAAAATACATTGATTCATTTCTTCTTTTGTTATTTGTTGATTGTCAAGAGCATTTAATAATGAATTAATAAATAAACAATTATTATTCATTACTCGTTTAGATATCAATTCATTAACAACATCATTTAATTGTTTTATTGATTTTTTATGTTTATTTGTTTGTTTTTCATCATAAAATTGAGTTAGTTCTAATAAAAAATATTCCCATGCTTTAAAATATTGTACAATTGAGTTAACATAATATTTTGTTTCTTCAATTGAAATCGTTCCAATAGGTAATTCAAGAAATAAATAACATGTTATTGTAAATGATATTGAACGTAAAAAATCCATTGTATCAATTATATTTGTTTCAATTTCATATTTGTCAAGATATTTTAAAATGTAATCAGCAGCATCATTTGAAACATATTTTTTTGCATTATCTAATAGTTTATTATTTAAAGCTTTTTGAGAAAAATTAAAACGTTGATATTTCCATCGTTGAATATTTCTATTCCATATAATTCCTTTATTTTTCATACCTAAATATTCTAAACTTAATGGACTATCAAATCTTAATATTTTAATTTTTTCCATTACGTCTTAATATATAATCAGCAAAATCTGGATTTTATATTATTATTGTTGGTTGATTAAAAAGATTTATTTGAACAGTATCACCATATTTTGATGTACAATACTGAGAGGCTAATGGAACGGTTAATTCAATAAATCATAATGATTCAGGAAAAAAAACATTTAGTAAGATACTTTGAAATTTTTTATTTCATATTTGCAATATTATATCAAAGAAAGAATTTGGTAGACTTATCAAATGTTTTGGACCAGGAAATATTTTCTTTTCAGTAGAATAACGTAGTAGTATATAAATTATTATAATAAAGATGAATAGTAATGTAATTGTAACTAGCCTGAGAGTAGAGGTTGATTGTTAGATCTGAAAGCAATTAACTATTTATTGATGTTATAATAACAAATATCCAGTTAACAAATTGTTTTTAAAAAAGTTTTTTGGATTTTTCCAAGATATCGTTAGAAACGATACTCTTAACATAGACAAGTATACCTTGCATTGTACTTAAAATAATACTTGACATATCCATTCTACAAATAATTGTTAAAGATGTCGAATGTATATGAACTTTTTAAGCAAAATATTTTATACGTAAACGCTTCACGTTATCAAGAGACGACATAAGTCATTTTATGATTTTAGCAGATAAAAGAGTCTGCTCTATTTGCTTTGTCAATAAAATAACATGGTCGAAGTCATTTCTCCAGACGACAGTTACAATAAAGAACAAGATAAACGTTGTTTTTTTTCTAAAACAAATTGACCAGTATTTTCGTTTTAACTAAGGTGTGAGTGCAGATGAATAGAAAGCTCACACTCACACCCAAACCTAACTTTACCGTCATTTTTCAACGCGAATTTTAAGAATAACTTTAATGATTGCGAGGCGATATGGGCGAACTTTTTCTATACTTTCCCTTCATCCTTTTCATAAAAAAGGATTGTGTTGCCACAAGAAATACTTGAATAGATACTGTGATTTGTGCAAACATTGCGAAAAAGCAAATAAAGAATGCAGTATTCCGTTTGTCAATAATGGGTTTTCTCCAACTTCTAAACAACATTGCAACTTCAATACTCAGCATAAAGCGGCCATCCAAATTGAACTTCTTTCAGACTGACTATATACCAATTGTGAACAAATAGATCAAAAAGACCTCTTATACTATGGTGAAAGTCTTGGTGTAAGTTAGCGTTCAGCATTTTGATCCTATTATCGTCATTGGTTGATGAGAATTGATTTTTACCGTAACGATCATTGAAAAAAGCTCTATAGGAAAGCATATTTAAACGTTCCGTTGTCAGTTAGTGAATAGAATTGCATCACAATTTTCAGACAAGGTCCATTTTCACATCTCCATCTTCAGAGACAAAAAATTGCATTGTGCTAAACTTTGTTACAGAAGTATCGAACTAGGACTTCGAAGTGTCTGAAGAGAAGACTAAACATTTAGCCTACATTTCTACTTAATTTGTGACTCTTTTTTCTGAAGAAAACGGCAATGCTACTCGTGATATTAATTGTGGCAAAAAAAGCTTGTTAGCGCAGCCCCTTTGGGGCTGAAATGTGGAACTCGCATATGCTCTCTAGCCTCATTCAACCAATATAAAATACGTAACTGAAAAATCTCTCCTAGACTAAAGTTGTTTTGCAGAATAATCAATCGAAAGAGTAAGAATCTCTCTAATTTCGAACAGAATGTTCTTTAAACTTTTCTCTATGGGCGCCCTATTTTTTATTTGCATTGTTGCTATTCGCTCATTATTTTTTTATTTTTTTAAATTCATTTTTCTTAATTTATCATTCTTATTATTATAATCATTTAATTGATTGACAAATAAGTGTATTTTACATATCTATGATATCTACAGCAGACCTTGTACACTATCATATATATTAATC